AATACAAATGATATAAAAAGAATATGGGCAGAAGTAATAGCAGAAAACTTCCCAAATATGGGGCAACAATCTGACATTCAGGTAACTGAACCATATAGAACTCCAAATAACATCAACCCAATTAAAACCACACCCAGACATATAATAATCAAGATCCCAGAAACTCAGCGCAGGAACAGTTTACTAAAAGCTGCTAAAGAAAAGAAACAGATCACATTTAAAGGAAAACCCATCAGGATAACAGCAGATTTCTCTTCACAAAACATCAAGTCAAGAAGAGCATGGTGCAAAGTACTTCAAGTCTTGCAAGAAAACAAGTTCCAACCCAAACTGATATACCTGCAAAACTCTTTCAAGTATAATGGAGAAGTGAAATAATTCCATGACAAAGAACAACTAAAGAATTTCATGATGACAAAGCCAAACCTACACAGACTACTAAATGATGTTCTAGAGAGGGAGCAAATTGATCACAGCCCCATGAATGAGAATGGAAAGAACCCACCAAACAGGGTAAACAATTAAACACAGGAGAATAAAAGGTTAAAAAAAAAAAGAAAAAGAGAATCTGCATCCAGGTCTCACACTTTATATAAAATTATGTCAAACCAAATAGGATCTAGTATCTTTTTTGAAGATCCTAGAATTAGAACAGAAAACTATAAAATATTTAGGAGAAAAATAGAAAATCTTCAGCAAATTGAACTCTATAAAATTCTCAGAGTTGACACACCAGCTAATATCACCTTTCATTAATGGAAATGTTGATAAATTAGGTATGTTCCAAATTAAACATCTCTCATCAGTAAAACACCTTCTGTAAAGGATGAAAACTAACTTTTTAACCTCCACCCCCAAGACTCCCAATAAATGTCTTCTTTGGTAGATGATTCTTGTGTGCTAGATTTCAAACCAGGCTTTTCTAGGCAAAGTGCTTTTGGCATTTAGCACATTATTCTTGGATTTGTGATCAGTTTTCCCAAAAACTCTGTGGAGAATAAAAGCATTCTTCTTTTTTCCAACCATGGTGCCAAGATGACATTAAGCATGTGAATCTACAGAGAAGGAACCAACACTTACCTTCAGAAGAGAAGACTGTGTGTACAGTTTTCCTGACTTGTATGAATGCACCAGGAAATCTGGGTCTAAAAGAGATCTATTTCAATAAAAATGACAGTAAATTATAATAATTTTTAATAACTGTTATGATCATGAAATTAAGCAAAATTTGTTTTAAAATTTTATTCTATTAGTACATGTTTGCAATACTTGAAGTTTACATTCATTTTAGGGAGTATGTGCATGTATACAACACAGACAGATTCTTTTTAAACATCCCTTTCATTGTCCTAACCACTTTTTGCTCTCCTACTCTAAACTCCCTCCTCCATTTTCAATCTTTTAATTATTATTACTTTTTCATCTTATGGTAATGATATATATATTTACTTTCATTATGAGCATTTCAAACACATAAGTGATATTTATTAAATCTTTTTGCTTTTCTTTCTCTGCTGCCTTCCTCCTGCCCTTATTCTCTAAGACCCATTCCCATTTGCAAAAGACCCACATCCTTGTTTCCTTTTAGCAATCCTTCACTTTGCTCTTTGTTTGTACTTTACCTTACTCAAATGAGAGATATCATCTGGTATTTAAGATTATGTGAATGATTTATTTCACCCAATAATATATTTTCCAAGTGTACCCATTTTACTACCAATGTCGTCTTCTCCATAGCAAGTAGTCTTCCATTATGTAGACTATTTCTATCTTCTATTTCTATTTATTTTATTTTATTTTATTTTATTTTTTTTAGTACCAGGAATCGAATTCAGGACCTTGTGCTTGCCATTCTACTAAGCTATCTCCCCAGCTCCTATTTCTAATTTTTTAAACCTAAGATCTAAAAACTAAAAATTATTTTATTACCTTGCTTGGTTTATGACAATACATAAGTGTATATGAAAATATTAACAAGTATATTAACAAGTATAACCAGAAAGCACCATGGCTAAAGGAATGATTTTAAAATAATCAAGCACCTTATGCATTTCTATGCATAGTCACAGCCTAGTCAGCATTTCTAGATTTCCACAATAGGTTTAGCTTCAACTATCAATAATATTGAATAACATAAAAACTACATTAATATTTTCTAGTGAAGAATAATGTAGATGATAGAGCAAATCATGCTGTTTTAAGGTTTGAGATTTTTTTGGAGGTTTGTTTTCAGCATCCACAGAGGGTTGGGGAGAACAGAGTGAGGGAGAGAGGGAGAAATTATTATTTTCTCTGGTCCTTGTTGTGCTTCTGTGAAAAGCAAGCTGTACACACTTAAAACCAAAAGCAACTACCCTAAACATGGAGCTCCACTGCAGTTTCATGCTGAAACCAAGGAAAAGGCAACAACTTTTCTGTGTCACAACATTTCTGAGGGAAGAGTCAAAAGTAATTTGTAGAAATGCACAATATATATTAATGTCTCTGGTGTTAATGACTGTGGTTAGTAGAAGAACCTAGTGTTTTCCTTAAATTCCACAACTCAAAACATTTTTATGGAAAGGCTTGATAAACCTGCCCTGTGAAACTGACCTTTTAAGAAAGATAAGGACTATTAATAAAAGATCTGCCAGCAGTACTGCAACAAGACTGGAGTTTTTTGAAGATCCTAAACACCAAGAGGCATTTTCCAAGCTAGGTTAGAAGAGCCTAGCACTCACTTGGCTTCATCACTGCTTCACTCTTCATGTGTGCTCCATTGTTGATCATTCATTACATATCCTTCTGTGTGCAATCCCAATATGCCATAAATATGAACAACTATAACTTGGGGATTTATAATTAAAAGCAAAAACTAAAAAGAGAAAAACACTCCAGAAAAGTTTTCAGAAAAAAACTGATTTTATCGGTTGATTTATGCAAAATTAATATACACATTTAGAAAAAAGATTATAAATTTTTGCACAACTCCCTGGGTAGAGAATTTTCATTCAAGAGCAAAGATATATGTTTGTAATAACATACATGTAAATGGGGTAGCCAAAATGAAACAGCAAAAGCCACTTTTGAAACAATAATTGTGAAAATTCATTAGCCCCAGGCCAAAACTATAACAATTCCAGGAAATTATTATTTTACTCTGGTTTTTAATGTGCTGCTGTTAAATGCAACCTGTACATACTAAAAAAAACATAAGCAACTACCCTAAACATGGAATGGAGGACTTGGAATATGATTGCCTCACTCCAGTCTCTGGGTTCTTCACCACAGTGAAAGAGTTAACAGTCATCTTGAAGACAAGACCAAAACTCATAGGGACAGTTTTGATTCAGGACTGACATGATCCCTTTCACAGAGACTGGGTGAAAGACAGCCTTGGGAGATAGGCTTACAGAGGGTGCGGACTAACTAGGGAAGTCCTGAGGTCCCTGGACTCAAAGCAGAGTGATCAAAGGGATTGTTTTCTATTGTGAGAAGCCAGGTTCCCTAGGAATAACTGTGGGAGGGGTGGCACTGAAGAAGAGGCACTTTTTTTTTTTAAGGTTTTTTGTTTTTGTGTGTGTGTTTGTGCAGGGTCTCACTATATAACTCAGATTCATAGTGATCCTCCTATTTTCTGCCTCCCTAGTGCAGGGATTACATGCCTGGGCTCCATCACTGGTTCAGTGTGCCTGGGGGGGCAGAGCTGGCACAGCAAAGGTGCCAGGGATCGAGCCTGGCCCCTGTGCTTACCTAAGCAAGAGCTTAATCCACTGAGCTATCTCGCCGGCCCTAAGAAGGCATTAGACATTTAAACTGTGGTATGTTTCAGCTCTGGCACAGTTGTCAATATTCAGCAGAAATCAGTGCTCCAAATTAGTATACATCAACATTAAGAAGCCCCAATGTTCTTCACTAAAATCAGAGAGTCTTCTTTGTTTTGGGCAGTGGCTGTGTATGCGGTTTGGCTATATCCAGTTGACATTTGACACCACTGTTACTGCACAATTCACTACCATAGACAAGGTAACACAGTCAGTTGGTTTTCTCTCCAAGCTGATGAGTGAACTGCCTGAGAGGGGGGCATAAATAATACTGTGGCTCATTCCCAAAGTGTGAGATATTGGGCCAAAAATTGGCAACCTCAGCATAAAGAAAGAGAATCATGAAAAGGCAGGCAAGGCAACAAAATATCTCTGGAAGCTCCCAACTCCCCCCAAATCAGTACATGGGCATTGATGAAACGGAAAAACTATAGAAAAGGCATTGTTTATTTAAAAACTTTGTTCTTTTAAAACTGCCTAGCTCTGTGACTGCTTCATAAGTACTTTCTGGCCTTATAATTACTTTTTTCAATGGCTTTATAATTACTTTCAGAACTGGCTTTATAATTAGTTTCTTGACCCCGTAACCACAAGAGTGTGACTACATGTACAGGATGCCAGGTTATACGCTTGTACCAAGCTTCATAAACTGATTAACAGTAATCCTCCCTGCTCACTGATGATCTCACCCTGCTAATTTATCAGAAAAACTTCCATGTATTCTGTCTTGTCTTTGTACCTCTTTTGTTCCTCCTGTTTCTGCATCATATAAAAGGCTTAGACCACCAAAGGTCAGGCCTTGATATTTTGGAAGTGATCCCAATCAGTGCCCTCAACAGAAATAAATCTGCCTCCAAATCATGGATGTGGTGTTGCTATGTCTGCTTGCTGTTGCCTTGAGAGGGAAGAAATGATAAACTACACAGCAGATGGATTTGAAAGGTTACCATAGGCAGTACAACTGTTCTACAAGGTGCTTGGAAAATTGAATGAGGACATGATGAATCGCAATGATCATAGTGGAACAAATGATCAGAGACTCTAGCGAAGACACTAATAAACAGCTAGTGGAGCTAAAGAAAGAGATGCAAATAATGAGGGCACAGCATAGAAAAGAGTGGGCATCCATAAGAAAGTTCCAAGTAGAAATCTAGACCAAAAACATGAATGAAAGTACGGGAAGCAGAAGTGACCAACACAAAGACAGAGTATGAGCCATGGCGGACAGGGCTGTGATCTATGATCAATTAATGAGAGATACTCTAAAAAGAACAAGGCAACATGAAAAATTGACAATAGCTCCTAAAGGAATTAGGAAAAAATCAGAAGATAGTACATGGGATATATAAAAACTTGTTTACACAAGTAATAGCACAAAACTTTTCAGACATGGAAAGATAATTTAAAATATAGATACAGGAAGCATACAGAAACCTGAATAACTATTATCAGAAAAGAGCACCAGAAAAACTCCATGCTACATAGTAATTAAAATACCAGATATACAACACCAGAACAGAATTTTAAAGGCTGCTAAAGAAAAAGCAATGAATTATCTGTAAAGGAAAACCCAGTTGAGTAACAATAGATTTCTCAACATATACCTTAAAGACAAGGAGAGCAATAAGTGAAGTATTTCAATCTGTTAAAAAACACAACTTCCAACACAAACAGATATATCCTGAAAAATTATCTTATAGAATTGGTGGTGAAATAGGATAATTCCATGATAAAGAAAACCTAAAAATATTTATGATTCCTAAAGCAACACTTGAAAACATTCTTAAGGATATCCTAGAAGAAGATAATAAACCTAACAATGCCAAAAGATCAATAAAATGAGGACATCAACAGAGATAGTAATTAAGTAAAAAGAAAAGAAAGCAAAGCACCAATGTAAATTAGTTCAATGACAGGAAAACTCAATTATAACTATAAATATAAATAGACTCAACTCATGAATTAAAGATGCAGATTAGCAAGATGGAAAAATTATAAGATTTTCTAAGAAATGAAATACTTTGTTATGTTGTATGCATGAAATATATTTTACAGAAAAAGTAATTTATAGATAAGAAATCAAAAAGATGGAAATCAATATCACATTTACAAGGAACCAGAAAATAAGTAGGAGTAGCTGTCCTATTTTGAGACAAATTAGGTTTCAAGCCAAAGATTATTAAAAGAGACAAACAAGGATGTTATATATTGGATAATAAAACTATTTAACAGGAAGAGCTAACAATTATAAACATAGATGCTCCAAAATATGGTGCTCCCAACTTTATAAAACAAACTCTAATGGGCAGATAAACATCAATATCATAATGGAGGGGAACCTCAATACCATACT